TGCCTCCTGAAGCCAGCAGGGGGAGCTGGAGAAGCACTTAGAAGAGGACGGTCAGGGCAAGGAGGTCCTCCCGCTCCAGGATGGCTGCCGGCTGCAGGGAGCCCCCAGAGGGCAACGAACCAAACCGGAGGGCTGGGAGCACCCTGCGTTCTCGGAGAGAAGACCTGCCAGCGGGTCGGCCTCCTGCCTGTCACCAGAGGCCCACAGAGGCTCCAGTCCATGGTGGTGGGGGAAGGTGTGCCTGGGTGTGGACTGAATCCAGGCTTGTGGCCCCGTCTCCAGGTGTGCGTTTTATTTTTGAAGCACAGAATTTGGACTTGCATGGTGTTCGGGCAGTCCCAAAACACATGTGCAAAGTAAGCGTGTTACTCCCCCCCACACACACCCCCCGTGCTCTTCTGTTTCTGAGGTAGGATCCCTTGCAGATCTGGAAGCCTCGGATCATGCCTCGAGGGAGGGATGCTCTGGACGCCACGTGCTCTATGGCCCCAGCCAAGCCCCTAGATTTCTGAGCCCGGGCTGAGGCATCCAACATGGACTTGCGTTTCTCCTCCCTCTGGTCCTGTGGCTGCCTGCCTTGTTGAGATGAGTCAGTGCCAGAATCGAAGTCAGCAGAGGGTGCTCTGAAAGCACACACTGGCCACTGGATCCCACTTACCAACCGGCTCCTTGTTTCAGAAGCAGTTCTTTTGCTGTGCGGGACATTGCGGTGAAGGCATGGCACTGGGGGCTGGCGTGAAGGACAGACATGATGTCCTTCTTGACGGGGGACTCAGAGAGCCAGTGGTCCCTCTGGTGAACACAGGCCACAGTCAGACTCCCGTGTTCTATTGGCAGAATGAAGACCTGGGGCCCCTGGCTTTGCACGTGTCCCTGGGACTTTAGTGCCTGCTTAGTTGTGTGGACTCACAGAAGCCTGTGTCTGTAGCCAGTGGTGCAGTGTCCACAGCTGCCTTGGGGGACTTGTGTGATGCCTATGCTGTTTCTGATTGCCTGGCCCGCCTGGGGCGTCCACTGCTGCCATTTCCTGCCTGGCTCCCACCTGGCTTCTACCTGGCTCTGGCACCAAAGCAAGAGCCGCTCGCACTCCTGGCACACCTGCTTGCAGACTGGATGCTGTTGCTTCACAGCTGTCCCCGTGAATCAGGCATGGACCCCAAGACATTGTCCCTGAGACCTGCATGGCATTGCTCCTACTGTTCCCCTTGAGCTGGTGGCTCTGGTTTCCCTGCCAGGGGGGTTTTGTGGGCCCGGGGTATCTTTTCAGAGGAAAGGGACGAAAGTGCAGAATTGTGACATGTGATGGATTAGGAAGGCTCAGCTACAGACAGCCGCCAGCTGGCGAGTGCCCAGCAGAGTCGGCAGCGTGCAGGCAAGCATGTCGGGATGAGCTGGGTCTCAGAGGGTGGGGGTGTGTCGGAGGAGGTCATGTCGCAGCAGTCAGGGCCTGCTCTGATGGTGTTTCCCGGGTGCGTGCTGAGCTGCTGATGTGGGGTGTGAGCCCACGGGTTCGGGATGCTTTGGGTGGGCAGTGGAGACGGGTGTGCACTGGCCCTAGGCAGGTTTATTTTCTGGATCTGACTCTAACCGTGTGTCTGGAATTGCTCCTGCACTGGTCCTAGTCTGACGACATCACACGGCCCCTCCTTGTAAACCAACCTTAGTTTCCTCTTCTCTGTATGTTTTGAGACATTCTAAGACCCTGGACCCAGTTGGTTTTTCCTTGTGTCTTCCCACCAGCCACCTTGGGAGGTGGGGGTGGGTAGGCTGGGGGCGGTTCTGCCTGCAGTTCAGGACCCTCCTTCCCTGTCATCCCACTCTCTTACCTGGAGTGCTGTTTGGTCTGAAGTCCCTTCTCAAGTCCTTTCTGTCACTTTTCCTACAGCACTTGTGTAGTTTCCAAGGTAGACCAGGCCTGGTCTTTCTTGAGAAGTTGGTATCTCCCAGCATTGGTGGAGTTAATGGCTGTTACTTTGTATGTGGTTTTTTTCTTTATTAAGCTCAGAAAGCTGAGGGTTGAAGTAAATCATTCAGAGTCATGGATGAAATGTTTCCTTTGGGTCATCAGTCTCCACAGAGCTCAGCACCCAGCACCCAAGCCTGGGGTGGCACGAGTGCCCAGCCTCCACTGGACACCACAGTGCCAGGGGAGCAGCAGGTGGAGGCGGAGAGCTGCAGGGCAGATGGTGTTGCTGGAGAGGGAGAGGAGGCGGTGAGACTCAGGGTCCCTGTGGACACTAAAGAGGTCTTGAGCTAGGTGCCAGTGCCGGCGGCTGACCCGGGCTGCCCCCATGCATGCCCGGACTGCCCAGCCTTTGCACTGCTCCACACTTGCCAGGCACATGCACGCACACGGGCGAGTGGACCTTCACCTGCCCCGAGTGTCTGCCTGGACCCTGTGGCAGCGCCTCTGTGTACGCACTGGCTGCAGCCGTGCCTTTAAGCTGCCCTCCATGCTATGGGTGCTGGTGCCACCAAGTGCTGTCCAGAGCGTCCACTGGGGAGAGGCACGCTAGGAGCATGACAGGGGGCTGCTGTGCTTGTCTGGACTCCCCTCGCCTGGCACCCAGGTTTGGGAAAGAGTGGACAGCAGGCCTGGCTGCCTGGGGACGGGGTGAAGTCCCTGCCGGGTCCCCGGAAACCACATCCACTTCCCCCTCACGACATTCCTTCAGCCCCATGGAAATGTTAAATGAAGTCCCCATTGAAAATAACCTGACATAAAGTGCCCAGCCAAATGTCTTTGAGTCTAAAGCATTTTAGGTGCAGCCCTGCAAGGCCTGGGAGGGGTCAGGGCTGGTGAGATTCCCATGTGGACCTCTGTTCCTCCTTACCTGCCGGTGACACAGAAGCAAGGCACTTTCTTTTTCCCATTTAAGTACTCCTTCCAAGACCTTGTGACTGTCCTGTCAGTGTCAAGGGAGGCCCAAGCAGGGAGACACATTTTTTTTGTTGCGTCTCAGCAAGGTCACTTCTGCTGTCGGCTGAAGAGATACGGAATGTGCTCAGGCAGCTGCAAATGTGTCCAGTTAGAGAGATTACCCTGGGATGATGGCTTTACTGCCCTGAGGGGCTGTGTTCTCATGCTGAGAAGAGCTTCCCGGGCTTCCGGACAACGGAGCCTCCTCTCTAGGCACCTTCCTGGTGGGTTGGTTGAATTTTCGTCTGGACTTTCCTCCTGCACTGGCCTGAGCCTGGCTGATGCTCTGTACTGTAAAGCAGAATGCTACAGCTGGAGGGCAGGGGCCTTGATTTAGGACGGGTCATGAAGGCAGAGCGAGGGTCACGGGGCCAAATGACCCTCCAGATTCCCTCTGGTAGCCTCAGAGCCATACCTCCCTGCATCCGGTGGGCTCCCCTGCACCGCCTCCCTGTACCAGCAGCTGATGACCTCTGGGGAAGAAAGTTTCCTCCTTTTTTATTATTTTAAGACTACTTGGTCAGCCTTCGTAGGCCGCCATCGCTCTGTGAATTTCCCTTTGGGCTGAGCTGTACGCATGCAGCTGAAGCTTGGTGTCCTCAGACTTTTAGGAAAGCAGTTTGGGGTTGGGGGCGGGGTCAAAAGCTCTTGACCCTGAGCTCTGTCTGCAGTTCTGCTTGGGCTTCTGTGAACACAAGTCAGACTGTGTCCCCACATGCTCCTTGGGATCCCTGCTATCACCTGCTACTCTGGCCATTTGTGTTTACTGCTGGAGGGGCCCAGTGGGCTCCCCGAGTCCCGCAGGTCCGTAAGCACACTGTGGCCATAGCCAGTCACCCAGGAGTGTTCTCAACACTTAGCTTCTGTGCGTGCTGAAACCAGCTCAGTGTTTCTGGGCCGGCAGAGGAGATGGACTTTTTCCCTGCGGTTGTTTGCTAAGTTGGTCACTACCCAACTTCAGAGAGTGTAGGTCCTTTCTTCCTGTGGAAGTCTGTTTTCTGTAATTGTGTTGGATCCTGGAAAGTCTCACCAGTTCTTTTGAACTGAATTTTTTTTAAAGAGTCAACATCCCTTTCAGTAAAGTGTTTTGAATTCTGGCTCTGAGACCACGTGGAGGCGAGATGATGGCGGTCCCCTCTGGCTCTGTAGGGCGGCCGCCTGCCCGCTGCTCTTGCAGAGCTTGGTGGTGGAACCAGGAGCTCCTGCTCCCCTAGGAGGGCCGAGTGGGCCAGGCCAGGCAGAAACAGCAGTGTCTGCTGCTGTGGCAGAGAGATTGCCCAGCACGTGCAGGTTTTGAAATAGCACGAGCTGCAGGAGGAGACAGAGTTACATAATGTGGGTGTGCTGTGCTGAGTGGCTGGGGTGGCATTGTGACCAATTGTGGGCCTTCAGGAGAGAGGACCAAGGCAAGCAGGAAGAGCCCTCAACGGTCAGCAGTGCATTGAGTCCCACTCACAGGTGACACTGACAGGTGCACCACAGCCGGGGGGGCAGAGAGTTGTCCCAGAGCCCAGGAGGTCTGCCACCTTGCCAGCTCCAGGCATGTTCAGTCTGCTGCTGGGCATTGGACATGGGTGACGCTGGGGGACAGGTCGTCCATTCTGACGTGGCCTGTATCTTCTGCACAGGGCCCACTCTGCATGGTCATGTGGGAGTGTGTGCTTTGGGGGTGACATGTACAAGGGCCCTGCCCTCCCCCTTTGCTGATTCGGGTTTGGCAATAACTCCTAGCTGACAGATGTGGGGAGTGTGTTGGCACAGACCTGGCTCCATGAGGATCCAGGAGCCTGTCTCGCTGGGTTGACTGGGGACAGGGACCCCTCAGGGTTCAGTTACTTCTCCCAGCAGTCAGCAGGTTTGCTGGCAGGTAAGACTGAGGTCTTCCCTGGGAGTGGCCACCCATCCTCAGGCAAGACTGCCCGACCATGTGTGCCACCCCCACAGAGGCTGCTTCATGGGGCCCGCACCCCTGTCACCCTTTGCTGTGTCCCCACAGCTCCCTGCCCTGAAGGTTTCCATAGCTCTAGGCAGTCAGGGGACTGCCTGGCTCCTTTACTCCTAGGGTCTTTGTCTTGTGCAGGTGGTGCTCTGGGTCGGCCTGGGCGTCCTGGTGGTCAGCACACTCACCACCCTGTCTGTGAGCGAGGACACTCCTGTGGACTTGGCAAGGGAAGCCCCTGGCATCCAGCTTGGGGAGGCTGAGGGTGTGATGAAGGCAGAGGCAGCGGCCCGGCTCTCAGGTATGCCCACAGGCCCCAGCCCCTGAGCCCTCTCATGGCAGTGTCCACAGAGTCACCTCGGGGTCGTGGGTGCAGGTGGTGCTTTCTGTACTGTCTTGTGGCTCTGCTTCAAGGATTGTGCTCATTCTCCCAGCTGTCTGTGTCATGTTTGGGTGACAGAGCAGGGTGGGAGGCCCCAGGCTTGGATTCTGCCATCCCTGCCCACAAAAGTGCTCTGTGCGTAGAGGCTGGCCAGGGCGGAGCCACCTGTGTGCAGGGACAGCGATGGCACCAATGTGTGGCCGAGATGGCAGTGCCTGGCCTTCGCCGGGTGAACAGGTACTTGAGTTTATGGGTGTGGCTCACCATTGCTTGTTTTGTTTTGTTCTAAGCATGTAAATTTCGAGTCAGTTTTGTCCTCTGCAAAATCATGATTATGCCTCAGTTCTGTTTACCAGTTCACTTTATTTATCATTTGTCTACCAGGCCTGTTGATAGTGTTACGGTCGCACTCCCTCACGCAGCTGTGGACATCCTCAGAGAGGCCTTGGCAATGCCCTGTAACCCCGCCACCCCCATTTGCAGTTGCATCCATGGGGGGTGCAGGGGTGTGTTTTTTCAGGGGTCTGGCTCTCCGGGGCACAGCAGCAGCTGTGTGTGTGTCTGGGTGGTTTACGCACCCCCAGACCTGCCCAGCCACAGATAGCAAGGGTAGTGCGATGGCTCCCTGCAGCCCCTAGCAGTGTGAGTGGGTTCTGTCTGCGGTGACATCTGTCCTGGGGCTTCCTCCCTGACGAGGGTTGGGCCCATGCATTGCACTGATGGCGTGTCTGTGTGTGCCCGGCTCACCTCTCCTGCAGACAGACTGCAGCTCGGAGTCCATCTGGTGTGCGCTCTGGGGGACCCCGTGGGGGTAGCAGTGCCATCTCTTGCTGGTGATGCCTGCCCTGGGTAGGGGTCCCACCTCCCCACCTCTGTAAGGGACAGAAGAAAAAGCCCTGTTGAAGGGCACCCAGGCACCTTGCTTGATTGCTGGAGCTGCCTGAGCACCTGGAGGCACAGGCTCTGCACAGTGACCTCTGGATTTGTCACCATCTTGGTTTAGGCTCAACATGCCTGTGCTGGAAAAGCCCCTTCCCAGATTTACCCTCGTGCAGACTGCCCCAAGGGAAATGCTGTCTTGGGGGCTTCTTCTTGAGACACCCCTATACTTGTAATAGCTGAGGATGCTTTCTTTTGCCTCGACGGGGTGGTGAAGGCGGGTGGAGGAATCTTCCTTTCTGGTGTCCTTGCAGCCAGCAGGTTGAGGAGCAGGTGAGGCCCACAGGGCAGGTGCTTGGGGACAGCTGGAGTCACGAGGAGAACAGCATGGAGCGTTTGGAAGCTGCACGCTGCCTGGCATTGGATTTGGTCATTTGGAATGGACTAAAGTCCACTTGAAGAGGGGGGTGGACGTTGTGTGCCCACCCCAGTTGACAGCCAGGCTCAGTCCCACCTGGGGAGGGCCAATTGGATGTCACCATCTGAGATGCTGGACACAAAGTGGGTGCTGACAGGGAGCCATCGGTGAAGGAAGAGGCGTCAGGGTGAGGGGTGGCGTCATGGTGAGCTGGGAGCTGAATCCAGGGGCCAGTTCCTCACCCCCTGCAGTGAGGGCACCATGGCTTCATGTGCTCGGGGTGGGCCCAGCAGAACTGGACGTAGCATGGTTTACCATCTCTGCAGGCTGCGGCCTGCCTGGTAATGAACTCCCTGGTGTCAGTCAACACCCAGGCTCCCTGTCCCCATGGCGCTGGGCGGCCTCCAGTGCAGCCGGCTAAGCAGCTGCATCCTGTCACTCGGGCGTGTGCGGGCCGCCAGCTCACCTGGCACCCTCGGAGGCCACATCTGGTTTCTGTTTCTTCTGAGAGGCTGTAACAAAGCACACGCCCTCTTGGGACCACGTGCTGTTTGCTTCCAGTGTGTTCTGTAGTTCTCCAGCCACCGGCCTTCCCTCCATTGGCGGGTTGCCCAGGAGGCAGCACTGGGGTGTCACTGACGTGTGCCCTGTCAGAGTGCGGCCGAGCTCTCCTGGTCTCTCTGAGGTTGCAGAGGCCAAAAACAGAATCTGTTGACCTTGGTGGGTCTCTACACTGGCCCTGGCTGAGACTCTGTGGACACATGTGAGCCTGTGAAGGCTCACGATGATGATTATCCATTAAAAAGGCTAATTAGGCCATTTATCTCTGCTTGACGGCACCCTGAAGGGTCTGGGGGGCAGACCCAGATTTTGCGAGTTGCTCTCTGTCGTGCACTCCCTGTTGTTGTGCGGTGTTGGGCAGCTTGGCCCTGACACACACAGGGCCGTGACGCCACCGTGCTCCTGCTCCTGCTTATGGGAGGAAGGGGCAGGGCCTGGCTGGAGAGGTGACCCATACTGCAGTGATGTGGGACCGAAAGAGGACCTGCTGGGCAGTGACATGTTCCTGTGTGTGGATGCTGGTGGCCGCACACCTCGTGGGCCCAGGCCTGAGTTGTGGGCACATGGCTGTACCCTGGCGTCCTGCACCTCCACCCCGAGGAGCCTCTGTCCGCTCTGCTGTCATCTGCTCTCCCCTGAGAACCTGCCCTCTCCTCCACAGTGGCTGCACCACCTGCCTCTCATGTGGAGGTGGGAACGGCTCCCGGCTTCCTTGACAAAGTGCTAGGACCTGTTAGAAGCCCGGGTGCCACACTCTCCTCTCCTCCACTGCAGGCCAGCTCCATCCTGCTGCAGCTTTCCCTCGTGCCCTGCAGGGAAGGCTTTTAATAGCTCCTGTGCCATGTCCCACGCGCCCTCCTCCTGTTGTGATTTGTGAGGGGAGGCGGCAGGGAGCTGGTTTCACTGGCACTGCACGAGATAACTGTGCCGGCACGTGGACTTGGCCAGATCTGAAAGGGACCCCTTTGGGGGCAGAAAGGGCACTGCCTCCTGGCACCGTCTGACCTGTATTGAGCCCCTGTGATCTGGGACAGCTGTGTTGGCCCTTGAGGCACAGCACGCCCACTCTGCTTGCTGGGACTTGGCCAGATCTGAAAGGGACCCCTTTGGGGGCAGAAAGGGCACTGCCTCCTGGCACCATCTGACCTGTATTGAGCCCCTGTGATCTGGGACAGCTGTGTTGGCCCTTGAGGCACAGCACGCCCACTCTGCTTGCTGCCTGTCGCAGACATGCCTACGTGAGGGGAACCAGGAGGAGCAAACGAGCCCACCTTGCAGAGGCGGCCACGGTGCCCCCAACACTGCAGCACTGGGCACAAGAGCCAGGTGACCTGAGCTGCTGGAATTCCCCCTCGAGTTTGGAAGGATTGTGTAATGAGGTCGACTACCAGCCAAGTCCAGAGATTGGGTTTGAAATTAAGCCATAATAAGTGTACTCTCCTCGCGGCAGCATCAAGAGAAAGGCAGAAATCTGTTATTAGGAGAGTTACCTGGAAGCGGGGCCTGGCTTTTTAAAAAGTGATCTCACATGGCTATCGCTCTTGATTTCCAAGTGCGTGACCACAGGGTCCTGAATCTCCTGAACTTGGGGCTGCCTGAGTTGAATGGGAATTTCATCAGAGGATGTAGGGGTCGTGTTTAAATATCAAGGCATTTTGGTACTTGGCAGCCTGCGAGGACCATTTCCTCCTTTACTGATCACAAAGGCACATGGCTTGTGCCAGTGACCCACAGAGCTGCCCATAAACTCGCCATGGTCCCGCCCCAAATGTGGTGGGCAGGGGCTGCATTAGATGCTGCCTCTTCTCCCAAGAAGGGGCATCTGCGACACCGGGTCCCTATCCCCAAGTCCCCAAGAATGCCTTGCTCCAGAGACGAGCCCTAAGCGGCAGCCACTGGGCCTCCGTCTCCCCACTGGATGGCGGGAAGGACAGGAAAGCCTGCATGGAGCTGCCTCCCGCATCTGTGTGTCCCAGCCTCTGTCTGTCGCTCACGGAAGCACCATGGGAGGTGAGGGGGCACCTGTTACCACGCCACACATTCCTGCCTGTGAAAGGAGCTGGGAACCTGTGCTGTCGCTGTGACAGTAAGGAGTTGCTGGAATACCGCACAAACACAGAATTTTCCTGGTTCTCTTAACAGTGATGCTGGTGGGCCTAGGTGTTTGGTGACTGGAGATGATGCTCGTGAGAATGGGAGAGGGCCGTGCCTCTGCCGGACGTTCCTTATGGATGCTGGCCCTGCCTACCCTCGTCTGCACCCTCCCCTGCTGCGTGTCAGTTGGTTTATTTCCCAGAGCCCAGAGACTCCTCCTGAGGAGCTCCATCCACATGGTGGTGCCAGCCACTAACTGGCAGGCAGCACCGTTCTCATCGCTCTGGGCCATTTCCTGCCTTTGAGCAAGCCACGGTCATGTGGCAATCAGCAGCAGAGCATAGGGTGTTTTCAGTTGCTAATTTTGAAGTTTTGTGTTAGTTTTACTGCAACCAAGAGGCACTGCTGGCAAACTCCCTGATGAAAATGCTGGTTCCATTTTGGAAAAGGTGGTGTTCATTGCCTGCAGACAGCTGCAAAGCGCTGGGGCCTGAGGCCGCGCCTGGTGGGGCTGCCGCTGGTGTGCAAGCCAAGGAGCTTTTACAGCCTCTCAGCCTCTGCCCGTGAAACGCAGGCCGCTCACAAAGTGGTGAGAGGCGTGGCGTTCCCGGAAAGCCTTCCAAAAGGACCTCCAGGCAACTGCAGGCTGGCAGTGGTCATTCACCAGCCTGTGCGGAATGTCCCCTGCAGACGTGTGGAGCTCCTCCCAGAGCCCGATAGTGGGCCGGGCTGCTCCTTCAACTTGGTCCTGGTACACAGCGGAGGTTTTCTGTGTTTGTTCTGTAATGTTTTTTCTTCCCCTCCCCGCCCCCCTTGGTGCTGTGATCCCCCAGACAGACCCTGATTTACAGTTCTTCTTGTCTGCGCACAGGGGCCTTGCCAGGGGCAACTGTGTGACGGAAACCAGCGTGTTTCCACCTGCTCCGGCGGAGGGCCAAACTGCAGAGCCCAGGGTCTGCTTTCTGTCCATGTGTTCACTCCCCGGCAGGGTGGAACCTTCCCTCTACAGCTGGGCTAGGACCCTCAACCCCAAACCCATGCCAGAGGTGCTTTCCCCACATGCGCAGTCATGCGCAGTCCTGCTTCCCGAGACGGAAGCACCGGGTGGTCTCACGAGGCTGCCGTGGAGCCGGGCAGTTCCCACACTCTCCTCTTCTGGCGTGATGAGGCCTCTGCTGCTCTGAGCAAGACCTGTGGCCTGCCCCAGCGGCCTCACTCAGGCCCAGCTGCACAGGCAGCTTGCTCGGGCCCACGTTGCAGCTGTGAGATGGGGCGTAGAGGTGGCAGCGGGCCTCTAGGGCTGACAATTCTGTTTCCAAAGGTTTTCCCCTGGTCAGTTTGTTCTTGTCATGTTCGTCTAACACACAGAAAGAGGATTTTTATTTATTTAATTAATTTATTTATTTGTCTTTTTCGTGACCGGTAAGGGGATCGCAACCCTTGGCCTGGTGTCGTCCACGCCGCGCTCAGCCAGTGAGCGCACCGGCCATTCCTATATAGGATCCGAACCCACGGCGGGAGCATCGCTGCACTCCCAGTGCCGCACTCTCCCGAGTGCGCCAGGGGCTCGGCCCTAGAAAGAGGATTTTTATTTATTTAATTAATTTATATATTTGTCTTTTTCGTGACCGGTAAGGGGATCGCAACCCTTGGCCTGGTGTCGTCCCCGCCGCGCTCAGCCAGCGAGCGCACCGGCCATTCCTATATAGGATCCGAACCCACGGCGGGAGCATCGCTGCACTCCCAGTGCCGCACTCTCCCGAGTGCGCCAGGGGCTCGGCCCTAGAAAGAGGATTTTTAAACGGAGGCAGTTTCCGAATGGGCTGCGTTTGGACCCAGCCCCGTGTGCCTGCCCGCCGCTGCACTGCGTGACATTGGCTGCTCCTGAGCTCGGGTCTGTGGGCACGGCCGCAGTCCTCTGCTCACCATGGGAAGCGTGCAGCTTCAGCGGGCCTCCTTTTCTCGTGTTCCTTTTGGTGGGAAGTTCCCATCAGCAGTAAGCTGACAGCACTGCAAATCGACATTCCTGATATTGCTTCCCTTAGGCCGGCCCCAGCCTTGCGTCCAGAGTTTGGGCGCGGCTTCGGGTGGCAAGGGTGGGGACAGAAGACTGAGCCCTTCGTGGGCCCATGCCGCCACCTGGTGGTCATGGCTGAGCATGACATGGATTGGCTCTTCCTGACCCAGTTAGGTGCAAATTGCATTGGGACATATTTTTGTTGTGAATACACGTGAAAAGTGACAGTTTTCTGTGCTGCTTTGCTGCTAATGATTAACCAAGATAAAAAATAAGTATGTAGGCTTTGCCGTGTGGCTGGGAAATGTGATTACAATCCAGGGAGAAGCACCAGCTCCCTGTGCTGATGGGCGCTGCGGCCGTGTGGACGCACTGCTCACCTAACTGTGCTGTGCCCACAGTCCAGGAGCCCATCGTGGACGTGGCCGAGGATGGCCGTGAGAAGCCAGAGCTGCCCAAGGAGAAAGAGGAGCTGGAGCAGGCCCAGATTAAGGGTCCCATGGACGTGCCTGGAAGGGAAGGCACCAAGGAGAAGCAGGAGGTGGCGCAGCTCGATCGCCCAGGCCAAGGTGGCGTGGTGCTGCCGACAGGGGTGGGGGTGGGGAAGAAGCTCTCAGGGCCATGTGTCTTTCCCCCTCAACCCAGCCTGAAGTGCTGGTCCTGTTTACCATCTTTGTCTTTTGATTCCATGTCCTGCCCCTGGCTGAAGCAGCTTGCTCCTAGCTTAGGCTGCTCTTATAACCTTCTAGAAATAGCTCCAGTCCTTGGCTGCACAGCAGTGAAGCTGTCAGATGGCGTCCCACCACTGGGAACCAGAGCCCAGTTCAGATTCCCTGGGAGGGGAGCGTGGGGGAGCCCCCTCCTCAGCCCAATCCCCCCAATCCATTCTCTGTGTCCTTCCAGGTATTGCTCTACCTATGGGCGAGGCCCACCGCCACGAGCCTCCTATCCCTCACGATAAGGTGGTGGTTGATGAACGCCAGGACCGAGAAGGACTAGAAGCGAACAAAGCTCCGTCCAAACACACAGACGAAAAGGCTCCAGGGAACATGGGTCCGATGGTATTGCCTCTGCCCAATTCAGAAAGAGAGAAGTGGGAACCAGAGAAGGGGGAGGTCAGGAAGAGACCCATGAAGGACCAGGCCTTGGAGGAAGCAGGTGGTCTTCCTGTGGATCCCCAGAAGGTTCCAGAAGCACATGGTCAGCCAGCTGTCCAGCCTGTGAGGGAGGACCTGGGGCCAGGTGACAAGGATCTGCACCTGGGGCCCCGGGCAGTGTTCTCTGAGGAGCAGAACGTGGCAGCAGGTGGAGGGGCGAGGGCTGACAGCGCGCCGCTGCTGGGCAAGGCCACCAGGGACGTGGGGAGACCCGCAGAGAACAGCGACCCTGGTGGGTATCAGTCTGGGGCTTATCTCAGAAAACTCTCCTTTCACTCGGGGCCGCTCGTGAGAGGCTGGGGCAAGGCAGAAGGAATTGATTGTTTGCACTTCTGTCTGGGTCTGTCTCTCCTTTCACAAGATTAGCATCTGAATGGAGCAGCCCTCCAGCAGCTGGGGCATTGACAGCTGCTGTGATACCTGTCACACAGCTGCTTGCCAGACCAGTAAACGTCAGGTGCTGCGCTGTCCTTGTGTGTGGGGCGCACGCGGGATGGGCGGGGAGAGCCTGACAGGTAACATGTTGTTAGGTGCCCGGCTAAGAGTTGGTTAGGATGACACCTGCATTTTAATTGGCAGAGGTAGTTAACACTGGCTCACTGCCACCAGCCTGTGAGATTGCTAAATAGTTTTTTATTACTTCCTTGGTAATCATGAGGTTGAATATAAGCCGGGTTGGCGGGAGGGAGGGTGGCAGCGGAGAACAATTTCAGAAGACATCTGCTGTCTCTTTTGTCCCACCTCTTCCTTATTCTGTGTCTTCCACCCCAACTTTATTGCGAAACCTTTTGAGTCTTCACTGTGTGCAGGTGGGAAGGAGCCCCTTCCAGCAGAGAAGCTGGCTCCTGGGGCCGGGCTGCAGCCGGAGCCTCGAGAGCAGAGGGACGGGGAGCACCCAGGCGGCGACAAGACTGGCAGCAAGCTGGAGGGTAAGGCTTGGCTGTCCCAGCCCGACCTCACGGCCCCGGGGGGTGGTTGTCCCTGCCCAGGCCCCAGTGTCCGCTCTCTGCTGAGCAGACACCATCAAGAGCTCCCTTCTCTTTTCCCACTGACAGCTTTTTCTCTGGCCCCTCCCAGGATCCTTTTTATCTCCATTTCTCCACTCAAAAAAAATCTGTCGCTTTGTCACATGGCTTTTAACTATCATTTTTATTTCATCTTAAGGCAAGTATGTTGATATTTCTAACACTCGTGGTATTTAAAGCCAGCCAGGTGTAGGGCGTTAGTACACCCAGATGTGTGGCTTATTTTCAGGCTGTACCTTGCGGGGGACCCAGATTGGTGGCTGTGATTGCTCTGGTTCTAGCAGAGCCTTCCCACCCCATGCCAGCTCCTGTCCCAAGCCTGTGCCCCCAGCTGCCAGAGCACATCTGCATGACCTGCAGCAAGGATCCAAGAATAAAATTCATCTTAGTCCTCCGCCAAACCTTTGTGGCTGTTTTGGGTTGACCCCAGCTGTTGGCTTTTATAGTCCCCTCCTCATGACCTAACCCAGTCTGGCTGCCCTTCTGTAGGGAGGCAGCAGCAGCTCTCCCAGCAGCCTGCCCAGCTGGAGAGGTCCTTGGTGACTGACAAGCTTCCGTGGCATGTCCTCTCCCCGCTGAGGCTCCCCCCCCCCCCCCCCCAAGGCTGTGAGACTGAGCCTCCAACTCCCAAGCATCACCTGCACTTGGTAGCTGCATCTTCAGGATGCTTGGCTCCCGCAGACCCTTGGCCCACCAGGATACAGGTCGGGAGTGAACAGCTGCTCAGTCCTCTTGGGCCAAACTCTGGGAGCCGATCCTCAGCTGCTCTGAATCGGATTTGCCAGTGTATGCCCTTGGTTTGTAAGACATGCGGCTTGGCTCCCCTGCTGAGTTGGCTTCCCAGTGGGTCCTGTGGCCTCAGGACAGCCAGTCCCCAAGCATGCATGGCACTGTGGAAGGCCCACGTACGCAGCTCCTGGGGTGCTGTGGCCTCCACGGGGCCGCCCTGGCCACAGCCGCTGGTGGCGCGGGTTCTCACGGGTCCTCGAACACTGAAGGGCTTGGAAGGCAGAACCACAAGGCGCCCGTTGGGTTTTTGGAGTTCAGGAGTTGCTTTAAAGTGTTACATACACATTATGTTTGTCTCTGATTTTAGTTTGGCTATTGTTTGTTGATTCCAATTCCTATAATCTGTTACCTAAACCTGTTGATTCTTTGATTTTTTTCTTTCTGAAAAAGACTTCATGGTTTCCTATTCTGCCTTTTTTCCGTATGCTTCTCAATGGGACGAACAGCTGAAATTAAAAAGATAGTAGCAGGTATGAATCAAAAGCATGTTTGTGGAGGGTTTAAGGCTGTGAGAATGGAATCCTGGCATGCATGCATGCCCCGGGAATGTCCCTGCGCAAGGACACAGGTCAGACCCCAGGAGCCAGCTCACACGCTCCCCCGGCTCAGTCAACAGGTGCTCAGGTGGGGTCCATAACACCCCAACTCTCTCTCCTTTCGTGGTGCCTGCCAGTCCTCTCTATTGTGGCTCTCCTGTCACCAGAGGACTGCTGGGTGGCGTCTGTCAGCACTAGCACCACCTGAGCAGCGGGGTGGGGCCATGTGTCCATGCTGCATGTGTGTGGCTGATGTTAACATATTCTGCACGTTCTTCATCCGTGGGAGGCTCCCAGCCCATCTGCAAGCCTGGTCCCCTTGGTTCTGGAGGGCTCTGGCTGTGGGGATAGCCTGTCCCCTCCATGCTGTTCCACCTCTGTCCCGTGTGGTTTCTGGTAGGCTGTGGTGCCCCTCCTCCTTTTTCTCCACCGCCCGCCCACTAGTCCTCTAGGAGCAAGTGAGGTGGTAGGAACTGCTGATCTGGAACCCCCAGGGGGCGGGGCAGTGTTAGCAGTAGATGGGCCTCATCCTCATATGCCCAGGGTGAGAGTGTGTCTGAGGCCAAGGTGGCTGGCCTGCGGCCTGGTGGCGGCAGTGCCCTGAGCTTCCTTGTCTAGAGGGAGGTGTGGGGAACTCCCTCTGTGCAACAGGACCTGTCCCTCCGAGAGGCGTCTGACAGCCTTCAGGCACCTAGGGCCGTGTGCTGCAGGGCTGGCCGGGCAGCCTGTCCTCCACATGGTCAGCCACAGTGTCCTTGCACCAGGTGTGTGGGTGAGGCCATGCCCGGGAGAATGCTGGCCCCACGCTGTTGGGGCTGGTTATTGTGTCACCCTTGGAGAGGATGGGCTGGCACAGGAGCCTCACTGGGATGCTCACTGGCTACTTGCAAAACGTTCTTCCTCCTAATTTGAGCTTTTACGCCTGACAGCCCTGGCCCATCACCCTTCTCAGCTTCCTAATTTAAAAGCGTGTGTGCAGGGCCGGCCCGGTGGTGCACTCGGTAGAGTGTGGCGCTTGGGAGTGCGGCGGCGCTCCCGCCGAGGGTTCGGATCCCATATAGAGACCGGTCTGCTCACTGGTTGAGTGCGGTGCGGGCACGACACCGAGGGTTGCGATCCCGTTGCCGGTCGTGGTGCGGGCGCGACACCGAGGGTTGCGATCCCGTTACCGGTCACGAAAAAAGACAAAAAGGAAAAAAAAAAAAAAGAAATAGGTTATAGTTTTTATTCGCTTGCATACTTGTTGATGACAACTGAGTGTGTAAAGCAGGACAGGAATGTCACCTGCCCAGGTGGCTGTCCCTGATGCTCTGGCACCTCTCTTTGACTTGGCTTTTCTCCGACACGTGTTTTCAGTGAGCAACAAGCAGGGTATCTGGGACTCTGCGAGTGTGGCCAGTTGGAGAGTGAAAGCGGTCAGAGCACCTGTTGGCCACGGTGGCAGAGACGGTGGCATTGGCCCAGCCTCTCCCGGGCCCCTCCTCCCAGTGCCTGGCTGGACAAGCTCGCGTGATTGCAGTCACGAAGAGGGTGTTGTTGATGATGGGTGTCGTGGGGCAGACTCCCCATACGCGACCCTTGAGCTGTCAGCCTGGCACAGCGTGGTTGGCAGCCCCCACATCCTCTGGTCATGTCTTTTCCCAGAAGCAGGCAGGGCCGAGGTGCTGGACCACGCCGTCCTGCTGCAGGTGATCCAGGAGCAGCAGGCCCAGCAGAAGCGGCTGCTGGACCAGCAGGAGAAGCTGCTGGCCGTGATCGAGGAGCAGCACAAGGAGATCCACCAGCAGCGGCAGGAGGGCGAGGGGGACAGGTCCAGGCAGGGTAGGCAGGGCGCCGCTGGCCGGGGCGGGGACAGTGTTGGGCCTAGTTGGGAGGGGGGCATCTCCTGCATCCCTGTGTGGCTGGATCTGAGGCTTAGTGGCCTAAAGTCCCAGAGGATGAACTTAAGTTTTGATTTATAATTCATAATTGCTTGCAAGTTTGTTCTTTTTAATCCCTACGTTGGCAGCTTGTGTTCATTTCCGTGGCTAATCTAATGATCGACTTCCTTGCAGTGGACACACAGCCCGAGCCCGGAGCGCCTGCACCCAGAGGTCAGGAGGAGGAGGCCCACGATGGGCAGGCCAGGGCGACGGGAGTGCCTGGGGGCCACCCTGCTGTGGCCCAAGAGCTAGGCCAGCATTCCCCAGAGGAGCCTGAGGGGGCTGCGGGCAGAGACCTGGCCGGCCCTCCTGCTGGTGGATCCGACCCAGAGCCCCGGGAAGCCCAGGTCAAGCCAAGAGAAGGCAGGAAGGGCGCTGTGCCTGAGGTGGCCGGGGCTTCTGTGGAAGAGCGACTCCCCAAGGACCTGGAACAGGTGCCCCTGCCAGACCCTGCCGGGGTGCCCAGGAGCCCAGAGAAGCACCTTGCTGAAGAATTCCCCAGGCAAAGTCAGGATATTTTTGGCGGAGGTTCCCAGGAAAGCAAGAAATCCAGAAAGGAGGCAGCAGCCACTGGTGCCAGTGCTCGGAAGGAGGCTGACCAGCTGGCAGCAGGGGCAGGGTCCCAGGAGCCTCATGCGAAGGCCCTCGGCCTGGGCCCTGCAGCCAGCCTGTCTAGCAGGGCGGGAGCAGCAGCCGCCCAGCCCCAGGCCGTGGGACGTCAGCTGGAGCCCCGGGATGTCTCTGATGGGGCTCAGGGTGGGCAGCAGGGTCAACAGCTGGACCTGGCCGGTCACCCAGAGGCACTAAAGGAGGCCCACGGTGGGGAACACGCGCCTGCTCCCCCAGGGCAGCCAAGAGCTGGGGAGGACGCCACTGAGCAGGAGCCCAAGCAGAGGCTAGACTCTGTGCTCGGGCCCAGACCAGCTGTCCCTGGGGCTCAGAAGCCGGACAATGCCAAACCAAACCGAGACCTGAAACTGCAGGCCGACTCCGACCTCCGGAGGAGACGGCGGGACCTTGCCGCCCGTGCTGAGGCAGGGCTGGCCCTGAAGGATGGGGTGATCGTCAGCCTGCATCCCCTCCCCGACGTCCGGCTGAATGACCTCCGCAGCGCCCTGGACGCCCAGCTCCGCCAGGCTGCGGGGGGCGCTCTGCAGGTGGTCCACAGCCGGCAGATTAAACATGTGCCCGGGGCTCGGGAAGAGGCCTGAGCACTCGGCCACTGCAGAGGGCCACCCCAGCCGTGTCCAGGCTGAATTCACAGCCACGCTTGTGTTGAGTGAAAGTCTTAAGATTTTGCTGTCCACAGCATTGTTTTCAGAATGTTCTTCCTGTCATCCTGTCACACTCTGAGGTCCCCCAAACCTGTCCAGACAGAGCTCACTGCAGCCCATGAGGACTGGCCCCTGCTCTGCACTGGCCAGTGCAGCTGTGCCCTGAGGCTCAGATGCTGAGGAGACGCTGAGCCTGTGACCAGGTCCTTCTGTTTCCGTCAGTGACGGGCCCCATCCTGCCGCCTGTTGCAAGCTATGGGGACAGAAGCTGAACTGGATGATGTGACCAAGGTACAAATGCCTTTGACACACGGGCTACCGTGAGAACCACCCCCTTAACCAGACTTCCAGTTACTCAGAAGCTTCATTGTTGCTCTAGTGTTTTCCATGAGTCTTGTAGAGATTCTTAAATAAACACTTCTTCCTTCAGCCTGCGGCTCTCAGCGAGTGCTGTGTGGTGTCTGAGGCGCGGGGAGTGGCAGTTATGGACACACAGGGGATCGTCTGGAAGCCACTGGGTGGACACCGCCCTCTGTGCTGCTCATGGCCTGCAGAACACCGAGAAGAGTGGAGTTGGTGCTGAGGGGTGACTTAAAGTGATGACTAGAGATCGTGAAAGATGGGTACCATTAACCAGAGGTCGTGGTTAACTGTCAACTGGATGCGTTGCCACCCCAGAGACCCACCAGAAGCAGAGCTGCTCAGTGCTCAGAGGCCATCCAGACCCCAGTGCCAGGCTAGTGCCCATGCTGGCCTGCAGTCAGGGCAAGGCTCTTGGCTTTGTGCCCACTGGGAGCGGTAGGGAGGCCGCTGTGGTAAGTGCAGTGACCTGTGCTGGTGCTGTGTCCCCTCAGCCTGCTGTGGCAGAGCGCCAGCCGCCCCGCGGCCACCCGCTTCCTCTTGTCAGTGCAGCTGTCAGGGCCTCGCTCCTGTGAAGTTGGGGGAGAGTGTGGACGTGAGGTTCCCCTTGTGGACACTGCTCGTGGCAGTCACCCAGGCCTGTGGGAGGCTGCTCAGTGGTGACCGAGGTCTGCCGATGCACTTGAGAGCTTGGGGATGGGACTTTGCCTCGATGCACGCCCCAGACCCTGCCACAGAGGACCACGTCTGCAGCACCCCCAGAGGCTTGCAGGGGCCTGGCCTTGGCCCCAGGTCCCACTCTTTCCCCTCTACCTTTTGAAATCCTTTATATTTTTTATTGTAGTTTCTTAACTTGAAAGGTGTCATTGGGCAGCCTGAAACACTAGAAAATTAATGAAGGGAGTGGGAGCTTCCAGGCCGAGCTATGATTCCTGCTGGAGCCCGAGAGCTGGCCGTGGGGGCCGCGAGCCCTGCCCTGCTCACGCAGGAAGCTAGTGCCCAGACAAGGGGTCTGGGCCTGGGGTCACCTTCCATCCTTATTTCCTGATTAAAAACAGTTCCAAACAAGCCATCATGTGGTGGCAAAGTGCCTCCGGGGCCCTCTCTGGAGTTGGGGCCCCATCTCCAAAGTTGCTTCGAGCTAGATTCTCACTCCAGCTTGACCTTCCTGTGCGTCTTACCTGGGCTCAGTTCTCCCTCTTTTCTGGAGCTCATTCCTCCCTCCTCTCCTTTCCTGTGAAGACAACTGGTCATTAGAGCAGGGCAGGGCACCCCAGCCCAGCACTGGCCGTGCCCCTGCTGCTGCCCACCCCTACCACCTCCACGTCCCTGCACCCAGACACAGGCAGGGTTCTCCGTCCCACGGCCTCCGCCCCATCTCCCACCCAGTAGGCAGCCCCTCGGCAAGGAAAGAAGCTCCTCCCCACAGAAGCTGCGTGAGCCTGCGGGGAGGGGCTGGGGCAGGGTGGGGCTCTGCTTTCTGACTGTGGGCTGCTCTGAGTGGGTCCTGTGACTGGGAGGTGTGGCTGGCAGCTGCCCTTGGCAGACCCAGGGCCAGGTCTCCCCTGGCGAGGCAACTGGGACGCGGTGTGGTGTTGCCCCTGGGGCCCTATGTTAGCTCAGGGCACATGGGGATGGCAATGCCCGGTCAGTGGCGCATGTGCTTCTGCACAGGGATGGGCCATGCTTAACACAGAGTGCAGCAGACATCAAGTGGCACTCAGCCCTCAACTCCTTGTCACCTGAGCCCCAAGCTGTGCTTGAATGTGTCCCCTCCACAACTCAGGTGCTGCCAATGTGAAAGTAGTGTGAGGTGGGGCCTTTAGGGGTGGCTAGGTCCTGGGGCTCCGCCCTCGTGAGTGGGATTAAGGCCTGTATAAAGGAGGCTCCAGCAGCACTGGGGCAGTTGCCCTCCTGCCCATGCACCTTCCCCACGTGAGGATGCAGCAAGAAGGCCCTGGCCACACCCCAGGTGCCGATGCCTCGAAGACTAAATTTCTGTCCTTTATACGTTACCTAGTGTCAGGAATTTTGTTATAGCAGCATGAACTGACGAAGAGAACACGCTTGAAGCAGGAAGAATCCCCTGGGGCAGACGCGGGGGCAGCAGAGGCCTGTGGGCCACCCCCCGCAGCTGCGCCTTTCTCATCCTGAGGGTCCAGTGAGTCTGGAGGAGCCCAAGCACGGAGAAGGGCTGGAGCAAGGCCGAGGGGGGTCTGGGAGGAAATTTGGGGTGAAGGGGCCCAAAGAAGCAGAGTCCCGGGAAGCCTGACAGCAGAGTTAGGAGGCGTGAAGGGGAGGCAGGAGGGAGCACCTGGCAAGACAGGGCTGAGGGGCCTGAGCAGCCGTGCCCAGCGGGAGCCCAGATTTGGGTCTCAGGGAGAAGATGCCAGAAGCTCTAGTCAATGAGCTGTCAAAGGACTGCGTGGCGGGGTGAGGAAATGATATCTCCCGATGGGCATGTGTGGTGGCAATGGTGTGAGCAGCCAGCGCCACTGAGACACGCGGCATGAGCCTCTTGTTCCCTCAACAGTGGCAGGAGGTGGGAGCTGCACGGCGGTGGCTCAGCCCAGGGTTGCGCCAGCATGTCTTATCCTGAATTCTTGTGGCTCCCATGAGATGTGACACCGCCCTGCCACTCTAGAGCCTTTGAACAATGACCTTTCAACACCTGGGGGAAATTAGGCTAATTCTAGAGGACCATTTAGACGAAGAAATGTGAAGGCACAGACCTTGACTCAAAGGAGTCAGGTCCCAGCACTGGGGCTCTGTGGCAGGTGCAGGCTGTGGTCCAAGGACAGCGAGACCGCGGAGCACAGCAGCCCAGCAGGTGGCGCTCACGACCCGTGGAATCCTCCGGGCCTCAGGGCATTCTGGGCTTCCAGGTTGTGCGCCTGTGTATGTGCGTTGTGTTGGGGTGTTGCCCTTCTAAACCGATCTTAGGCCATGACACTAGGGGGACAGAGAGCGACAGAGGCCATGAGCTGTCAAGGACCTGCCTGGGCTTTGACACCAGGTGGAGGCTGCAGAACAGGCGTGGGCAGTCGTGGTTGGTGCCCTAGACAGGACCCTCTCCTGTCAAGCGCTAAGTGCTAAGGCACTTGACTGCTTCAGTCCATGACAGCCCGACCCCCTACCCCCACCAAGTCCAGGGAAGTCACCTGTACAAGGTCCCCCATGCTCTGGGGTGTCTTCTCCTCAGGGAATCACGGTACTTTTATCTTCGGTGTGTCTTGGACACTGGGAGTTACATCTGGAGGTTTCACTAGCCCCAGACTAAAGTTTGGTTTTGTTTTTGTTTTTGCAGTTGGCTGGCATTGGGCAGATTAAGTTTTTTGGTGAGAATGTTTTTAACCTGTGACAGAGCTCCCCCGGCCCAGCCCTGTGGGGGGACTCTAGGCCCCACACTGTCCTGGAGAGGCCAAGACCCCCGCCCCACACTCTGCATGCAATAAACCAGACACCGTGCATGATCTGACAGTCTTTATTGCCAGTTCCTTACATCTTGTTCTAACTGAGATCCTTAGGAACAGCAGGCTGGAAAACAAATTCCTGCCCTGCTCACGCTTGACCTGTTGAGGCTCTGACACCCTAGAGCATCACCGTCCCACTTCCTCTCAGCCCTGAGGGCTTGGTGTGCTTTGTGTTGGAACCAACATGAGGCAGCAGATGGGAGTCAAGACCGGAGCTCAGGTCCTTCCTAACAGCCTCCCTTCAGGGTCGTCTTGGCCTAAAAGATAAAGTATTCTGTCTGAATGGCTTGTTTCCAAGTAAGATACGGCTCAAAGCTAAGAAATCTGCTGCACCAAATGCCATGTTTTACCAAACACCTCACAGAGAACTCGGGTGCTGGTGTGTGGTGGGCGCTTGGTGGGTCAGAGCTTGGGGGCCCCAGGGGCTCGGTCTCCAGTTCACTCACCCACAGGATGATGGACTAGAGAGGATGGCTGACACCAGCCAGACCCCATGGCTGCGCCCACCTTTAAGCACCAGACGCTGTGCAGCCCCCCCCCAACATTTGGCCCCCTGCTCTCATAAAGAGGCAGCAGGAGCCTCCTCTTACACAGGAAAACTATGAGGCTCAGAGATGCTGGAGCTACTTGCCCAGGTGACAGTGCTCCTAGGATGGAGCTGGAATTTGGGCCCAAAGCCCTTTCCACCTCCTCATGGAGACACCCGCCCCCGCCCTTGGATCACAGGGAGGAGGCCAAAATCGGGCTCATCAGCGAGTTTCCTCATCAAGAGAAAAACCCAGACCTGCCTGCAACTAGGTCACCTCCAGAGGTGGAGAGGGCTCATGTGACTGAGTGAAGGGCTCCACTGGGTGACGGGCAGGGGATGTGTGCCTGGGGTGTCTATCTGATCCAGGCAAAGGAGCATGAAGTAGGTGAAGTCACAACCGGCCAGGCACCTCTAACAGCTAATTCCTGACAAGCCACAGAGATGGTGGTAAGAAAACAAAACTGATTCTTTATCTCAAATGTCAGTTCTTCTAAGAGCTGCTAACCACAAAAGTGAACGTCTGTCTGGCTGCCCTTCCCTCAGGGAGGACTGCAAAGCCGGGAAGCCGCCGAAGTCGACAGGGACAGAGAAGGTGCAATTTCTGATGAGGGACTCACCTCCGGGGTGGGGTTGGGCCGTAATAATCACAAGGAGGGTGTAAGGCGCGAGCTACCTTTCTTCTGAGCTAAAGAAACGGGTATCCCATATGCTCTCAGCCCATGTGCTTACGACGATCCCGGGACATCAACAAACTCCTTACGATCCACTGAACTCCGCCGAGCTCTGGTCCGGCCACCCTTTCTCGGGTCCGTTTCTTGGGATCAGCAGCTCCCAGTAAAGAGCCGACCCACTGAATCACGACGCCCGCAGAGGTACCCAGTGATGCCGGCTCCTTCGGAACCAGCCCCCACGTGAAGGTCCAAGACCCTCGTGGTTAAAGCTCCATCGGCAGTCGTCACCTCCCTTGTCCTGTTCTCGAACACCCACGGTGGCCGGCTGCACCCGGCGGCGCCCCCTCCGCTCGGGTCTGCCAGCGACCCCTACTCTCCCCATGGCCTTTACGAAGACGCCGAGCGCCACGCTGCGGTTCCGACCCGGAGCACAGACTCCCACCTGCACGACGTCTCATCGGACGAGAGCACACGCCGTCCGCGCCGCACCTGCCGTGCCGACCGGGCGCGTCTCCAGCGCCTGGGACGGGGTCTTGGAGCGCACGCGGCGCCCGGCCCGCCTGGCTCGGGCCCGAGGAACCCGCCGTCGCCGA